CGTTAAACTCACAATTCGTACTCAAGTACAGATGTGTCATACCTCATTGGACATATATTCGATGTGCCATTTTCCTAAGAACTCTTAGATAGTATTATGCCGTTAGAAAAGTGTTTCATACACTTAATTGTCTTTGAAAAATATCATTGAAAAAACAGAAAAAAGTTAGCTTTATAACAATAACAAAATTTATTTTACATTTTACTCCTAACTTTTGAGACACCCTTTATATGTAAGCGACTTGTACCAGTCTTATGCACAAATCAAAAATATTGCTTGGACATTTGTTAACATTTTGTAACTACTATTTTAAGACATATTCTTGATTAGAATTTCAACGATTATTTGTTTAGACAGATTTAGAAGTCTGTAGGAAGTATTGCTTATAATGACAGTCGAAGCTTCATAAAATTATCCTAGGACTTTCCAAATTATATAATTTCTAATAAACAATCCGCGCTACCATGTTATAATTATCAATACTAGATGTGAAGAAAATTTATGCTCTTTTTAAAATCATTTTATTGATTGAATATACACAATTCAAATATTCTTTACAAAATTTTCATACATAATAGGTATCTTTTATTAATTGCACGCAATTTACTGTCAAAATAGGTTATGTACGTTATTTTTTCTCTTTGAGAAAAGAACATTTATCGTAACATTTATTCTCGTAACACCTCGTGTTAGTATCGGACGATGTTAACCATGATAGATGATTATTGGATATTATTCAATTTTCTCTCATATATCAGTGACGATATACCTCTTTTTCGATAATCTCCAACAGTGTATGCTTTCTTTTCATCCATATCTAAACGCAATGTTTGAGTGATAATATATAATGTTAACAGGAAACAGTCTTCAACATCATGTGTTATTCTTTCTTCTTCTTTTTTTTTCTTTGTATTATTGCATGCGGTAATATCTATCATTTAAAAAAAATAAGTTTTCAGTAGGAAATATGTTTGTAGTGTACAGCATTCCATTCATTCATTAAGAACAACAACAGCTATGGTTAGTAGTTAGTTACAAAGATGCATGAAGTTCTGGCGTGGTTGTAAGAATTGATTGGCAATGATAAACAATACAACAAAAAAAAAATTTCCCTAAATTAATTTGGTATTTTCATGCATGATAGAAGAAAAGAAAAGAAACAGACCACAATTTCTTTTATGTTTCCATATGATTTTTACAATTAGTGTTAGTTTGAAAAGACGTTTCTAATAAACGATATATAGTAAATGAGCGTACAAGTTCTGACAATATATCATAGCTTTACGTCATCGTACGATAAACACTTCAATGTTCAAATTTTAGGAAATATAGGAGAATTACTTTTCTCAAATGTTTCAGATCTCTCTTTATAAAAGTTAACGTGAAGTTCACTATATACATATCACATAAGCCTACATTATGCCACTAAAAACATCTTTTTAATCAGCAAATAAATCCTGTTTACTGATGGATCTGTTCAAATTTATAAAATTAATGTGTTTTATAACTTTTGTGCCCTATCTAAAGTATCGTCATCGATCAGTTCACCCATCCCAATTTCAAATTTAAACGTTCGTTCCTTTAAAAACACAAAAACAATATAATGACATACGATGCAGAAAAAAAACGTATTTTCGCTCATCTTTATATCGTTCGTTGAGAAAGTCCTGAAAACACTCTGCTACAATGCTTTATTATTAAACTATTATTCTATTACTATTTAGATGACGAAAATATTGAAAATTGGCAGCCATCGCTATTTATTGTTCAAAATACTCTAGAGCCATCGCAAACTGAAATTATTTCTCGTTCCACTACTGTTAGCGGTGAAATGTTTCCATCACATTGGTATGAATTACGCGTAGAACGTCCATTACAAGATCCCACAACCTTGAATGAACATGACACACTTCATTTATCATGTAAAATATCTGGACTACATATCGACAAATTTACATGGTTCAAAAATGGTGAACTCATTGCAACATGTACACAAACACCAACAACTGATGAATCGAAAACTCAAGATAATGGAGAATATTGTGCATCGTATGATACTTTACCAGCACATTTCATTGCTTTATTAACTGTTGATAACGTCATGAAAGATCGACATGAAGGTAAATACGAATGTCGTGCAGCAAATATTCATTATCGTATATCGTCATCTTGTAACGTTATGATTTTTAACGATAAACAATTAAAACGACATCATGAATCAGCGGAAGACCAACAAGAACAAATACAGCAAAAACGTCAACATTTCGATGTACCGTTAAGTACAGATCACCAACAGTTTGTATCATATTTACAACCGATGAAGTCCGATGAACTCGGACAACATCAATTAAGACGATCGGATCAATGGATGATGAATGTAATTGATTCATCGCGAAATATTCATCAACAACTATCAGCACAAACAATTCCACCATTAAATGCCGTAACACGAGTCTTGGCGAGCCATCCTCAAATCATTGAACAAAAAAGATCAGAAACAATATTGCCATTTCAATTACAACAACAGAGAGAACTTCAAATCGTACCAGAGAGAATTCAAAATCAGTCGCTCTTAAACTTAAAACAGCGAATATTTCCAGTGTCTAGCGAAAATCAAGAATACCAAATGTTTCATACGGAAAATGAATCAACTAACTTATTAAACCAAATACGACAGGAGAAAAAGCAAGAAATATTTCCTCCATCGCAGATGCCAGGTAAACCAGAAAGTTATTTTGAAATACTACAGCAACATCACCAAATGCCTTCCGATAAACTGACTGATCAGGAGCGGCAGTTACTTGAACAATCAATCGAGCAAACGATCAAACCATCAGTTCAACAACAACAACGTCAATCTGAAATATTTCCTCCATCGCACATGCCAAGTAAACCAGAAAGTTATCCAGACATACCACAGCAACAACAGCAAATGTCTTCTCATAAACTGACTGATGAGGAGCGGCAGTTAGTTGAACAATCAATCGAGCAAACGATCAAACCATCAGTTCAACAACAACAACGTCAATCTGAAATATTTCCTCCATCGCACATGCCAAGTAAACCAGAAAGTTATCCAGACATACCACAGCAACAACAGCAAATGTCTTCTCATAAACTGACTGATGAGGAGCGGCAGTTAGTTGAACAATCAATCGAGCAAACGATCAAACCATCAGTTCAACAACAACAACAACGTCAATCTGAAATATTTCGTGCAGCGCATATGCCAGGTGAGCCAGAAAGTTATCCAGAACTACGACAAGAACAAATACATGAAATATTTCGTCAATCGCATATGCCAGGTAAACCAGAAAGTTATCCAGAAATACCACAGCAACAACAGCAAATGTCTTCTCATAAGCTGACTGATGAGGAGCGGCAGTTAGTTGAACAATCAATCGAGCAAACGATCAAACCATCAGTTCAACAACAACAACGTCAATCTGAAATATTTCGTCAATCGCATATGCCAGGTAAACCAGAAAGTTATCCAGAACTACGACAAGAACAAACACATGAAATATTTCGTGCAGCGCATATGTCAGATGAGCCAGAAAGCTATCCAGAACTACGACAGCTACATCAGCAAATGTCTTCTCATAAGCTGACTGATGAGGAGCGGCAGTTAGTTGAACAATCAATCGAGCAAACGATCAAACCATCAGTTCAACAACAACAACGTCAATCTGAAATATTTCGTCAATCGCATATGCCAGGTGAGCCAGAAAGTTATCCAGAACTACGACAAGAGCAAACACATGAAATATTTCCTTCATCGCATATGCCAGGTAAACCAGAAAGTTATCCAGAAATACCACAGCAACAACAGCAAATGTCTTCTCATAAACTGACTGGTGAAGAGCGGCAGCTAGTTGAACAATCGACCGAGCAAACTATCATACCATCAGTTCAACAACAACCACATCAATCTGAAATATTTCATGCAGCGCATATGCCAGGTGAGCCAGAAAGTTATCCAGAAATACCACAGCAACAACAGCAAATGTCTTCTCATAAACTGACTGGTGAAGAGCGGCAGTTAATTGAACAATCAATCGAGCAAACCATCATACCATCAGTTCAACAACAACAACGTCAATCTGAAATATTTCGTCAATCGCATATGCCAGGTGAGCCAGAAAGTTATCCAGAAGAACGACAAGAGCAAACGCATCAAATATTTGCTCCATCACATATGCCAGGTAAACCAGAAAGTTATCCAGAACTACGACAGCTACATCAGCAAATGTCTTCTCATAAGCTGACTGATGAGGAGCGGCAGTTAGTTGAACAATCAATCGAGCAAACTATCATACCATCAATTCAACAACAACCACGGCAATCTCAAGAAATTGTACGATCGAGCACTAATGAACGGCAAGAATCTGCCTCTTTTGCAGAAACTCCATTTAGCATAGCTAACCCTTTTCCTGATTCAACGCCATTACAAGCACAACGGCAACGTGATTATCCACCGGCTCAGCCACTTCAGAAATCTTTACAGCATGTCTTTGTACCGCCATCTTCTTCGGATCGTGATAGTAGCGTCGAATTAGAACAAACACTTCGTTATCATATGCAACAACAGCAACCTGCTGGTCAGCATCAGCAATATCAAACGCAACTCATTGATAGTAGTAGTAGTTCGGCTGAAGAACAATATTTAAAAACGGAGGATTTAAATTTTAGCCCCGTGTTCTTCCAATTATTACAAGATATCCTATGTGAAGAAGGTGAACCAATTCTACTATCATGTCAAGCAATGGGCGGGCCAAATTGTCGAATGACATGGTATTTTAATGAACAACCAATTCGACAAGATAATCTAAAAACGCATTATAATGTTGATACTGGTATTTGTTTACTAAAAATCGACAATGCTACTGAATCAGATAGTGGATTGTATCGTGTCGAAATTGATAATGGACGAGGGATAGTTAACAGTTCGTGTTATGTAACCGTTCAACGGCGTCAGTTATCCGCAATACCAGATAATGCTCCATTTGAACCTATATTTATCGTTCAATTAGATCCGACGTATACATTTACCGATGGTGAAACACTTCGTTTGCAATGTGTAGTACATGGAAAATCTCCACTTGAAATTAAATGGTATAAAAATGATGTGCACATCTCTGTAAATGACCGTAATGTTCAGTCAACACAAATATACTTTGATCAAGTAACGGGAAAATGTACATTAACTTTGAGAGACATCTATCCATCAGATTCTGGACATTATCGATGTGAAGCGACAAATGAATATGGACAAGCAAATACATATTCACAGATAAATATCAATCGTAAGTTTAATGCATCATTTTTTTTCTGAAGTAAATGCATGAAAATATCCCTTTATGTATGCACGACTCTATTGTTCTTGATAGTTACAATAACAAGTTTCCGCTATTTAATGATTAATCTGTTACTTTCTGCTGTTGTTTATGCGATCAATATTCAATGATCATTAGTTAAATTTTGCGAAAAATGAATAATACTTGATTCAGTTACCATAAAGAGTAGAGTCTTAATTCACAAATGCATCGGTCACTACCAGTCCTTATCAATGAAAGGTAAAATTCAGTGGGTTAGACCAAAAGAAGAACTGACTAGAAATTCTTTCATCGTTTACTCTAAAATAGTTCACTTACAAAACGTTAACTTTAACAATTTATATCAATAGAAAAACTTTTGATTTTCTTTTAGTTTTTCAATATGAAGCTGATAGTGAAATATCATCTATTTCTTATGCTTCTAAAGATGAACGTCAACTATCGTCATCTTCGTCAAGTGATAGTGATGAAATTGAACTTGTCAATGATTCACGATCATCATCATCAAGTCGAAAAGTTATAAATGAATCGAGAAGAATTGTTGAAGAATTAGAAAAACGTATTAAAGATATATATCACGATGGTAAGTAAATGAACTATATATTACATAATCAAAACTCATATACCATACAGTTCGAAGAATTTATTCTCATAAGAAAACATGATTGATAAATGTGTACATATAATACAGATAGGCATATCTTCTAAACAAAGCGAAAAAAGAAAGAAAGAAAAAAGAAAACAACAAAAAAAAAAGAATGTTAATCGCAGAGGGTATATAATAGATTAAAATGATATGATTCTGATTGTTCATTATGAATATCCTGAAGAGCTTTTAGATGAAATAACAATTTAATTATCCATAGGAAAATGTATTTAGACAAGAAGCTGATCTAATCAAATATTTCTCTTGATAACTAATTATGAACATTTTTAATAGTCTAAAATCACTTACTAATATATATATATATTCACTATTTATTGTGTGCAAGAATTGTCTGCTTTGTCAGGCAACTTAGCAGGCGAATTTTATAAAGAATTTCTTGTCGAAGGTTATACTAAATTTCGTTCTAAATTCATAAGTTAATAATTAATCTTAAATCAGTATAAATGTCATGTGATGAAACTATATTATATATAAGATAATTATATTAAAGTTAATCTGGTACAGACGGACTTAGTTTCAATTATATCAAGTTCTAAAGTTTTAGTACGGTTTTTCTTTTCTTTTATGTATAACTATACCACTACGCCTCTGATTATTAACATAGAGAAGAACATTCTGTCAACATCATTCAAGTATACCGTTTACATAATATCAACGATACATTTGGAAGAAAAAAAGGAGAAGAAAATGTATCTACTATATATATACTTGGTCATTTTTCTAAAAGAATGAATGACGTACCCAATAATAATATAGAATACATTGGTAAAAATAGCATAAGAAAAAGTAATTTTCATCCATGTATAAAGTAGAAGAAGATAGCCAGTAGACCTTATATATCTCTTTCGCAGTCAATCTTATGTGTCAACAACACAGCATACCAAGAAAATATCAGCAATGCGACGAATAATCGACGTTTCCTTAACCTATGACTCTTTCCCTTCTTCTTTTTCTTCTTGTTTCTTTTTCTGGAAAAAGGAAGAATATATTATCCAGCTGCTCTTAAACATACAATTATGTTCTCGTTGACCAAAAAAATATTTTTTTTCGTTAAATGAATCCATAGTCTATATCGTAAGCTGAGAAGAGAAGTTGTTTTGTGTGGATATTGCGTCGATTATTAATAAATTATTACTTTGAGAATAGAGAACTAGAAGTAAGAACTAGAAGACGAACACACACACACAAAACAACAGCAATCATTTCAAATAAGGACCTGTCGTAGGGATAATAGACATACACACACATTTTGTGCCTTAAGGGCAGTTATAAGCAGCAAATATTCATAACAATATAACAATCTTCATAATAGTAACGATTTCGCTAGTATAATGGCTAATAAACCAACTGGTGGTGGTGAAACACCATCTGATGAACGTATTCCAAAATTTATTCATATTGATGATGATAAAATTGAAATAGAAGATTCAGTTCAATTTGGTTTTGAACATGAATTAAAATCAATCAATGTTAAACAAGGTGAACAAGCACGATTTGAAGCAAAAGTTCGTTTATTATCAAAGACAACGGGTGTTAACAAAGATTTACTTCACGTCGAATGGCGTTTAAATGATGTATTAATATCATCAACAAATCCCCGTTATCGTTTTGGTTCAAATCGTGATGAATGGCGATATTGGTTAGATATTCGACAATGTGAACAAATTGATGAAGGAGTTTATACAATACAAATTCAATATGAACAATTAATTGATGAATCATCAGCATATCTATTTGTTGATAGTAAGTTTTTAAATGGAATCATATAAGAGAAAAATCTTTGTTCGAGTATTTTCGAGAACAACAAGCAGAGAAAATGTGTTCTTTTACTGATTGTAACGAATGACCCATAATGAATCGGTCACTTTGTAAGTTGCTTATGTCTACATCAGAGTTTATCCCTCTTTATGACTTTATTTTTCTACTAAAAGAAGCAGCGTATAATTCTGTACAAAACTGTATTGGATATTTGTTCATAAAATGTGAAAGTAGAACGTTAAAGGGAAAATACTCAGAAGCTCCAAAATGAACAAATTTCTATAGTTCTCAGCGAACTTAAGTTTTAGTTTTAACTTGGATGCAGAAAGCAGTTGCATCAGACAACGTCGTCCAATACTTTTAAACGCTCACTCTCTTCTCGTGTTAAAAGCTTTTTACTCCTAATTACTGCACAAAGAGCAATTTTATGGAAATTTTCTGAAAAACAATGTAAGTTTGTTCTTTTCACTCAGCAAACTAGAGGAGGGCGCACCGTTTTGGAGTTTTTCGTATTCTGAGATAATAGACAAGTTCCTCTTTAAAATAAACACAACTGGACCTGAAAATGTTTGATTTTCAACGAGTTATGATGATTTTTTCGCAAGCATGTAAAAAATTGCTCTTCAAATCGGTGCTGTGACGAAGAAAAAAAAGTAGGTGTGCTGTGCATCACGCCTATCATCACGGGATTGTTTCAAACTTGTTGCTTGTCGGAAAAATAAGAGAAAGGAAAAAATTTCTCATATCATTAGTTGTATAGTGGGAACATTTAATTTTAGATAGAAGATGAGCTTTTCAATAACTACAAAACGGCTGATCTCTACAGTTAAAGATTTTATGTTAGAAAGTTCTCATTTTAGAGCTTCTCAGTAATTTCGGTATAACATTCAACTTTTACATGTTATAATCAAATTCTGAACACGCTTTCTGAAAAGAATTTTATACTAGTTCTTTTCTTAGGACAAGAAAGACTGAGGAATAAACTTTGACGAAGATGTAAGCAAATTATCATGAAAAAAAAGCAAAATTCATGAAAGTTCTAGAAGTGTAAGGTATAAAGAGGCATCTTTCAAAACTACCTCTTTATGCATACAGAGGTTAAGTTCGAGGAAGCCAAGGGTTATATTTTGTCTGAGTAAATAATCTTCTTCACTACTTATTCCTACTGTTCAGGGCTTGAACGTTCAGAGTATACTGTGTTCTAGAACTAGTTTGTTGTTAGAGTCCTAGAGGCGGCGGAACTGTAGTGAGGGCGACGCCCACACAGTTTTCGGAATTTAAGACAGAGAGAGGACGGGACGAGTGGTCCCACAAGTTTAAAGATTTATTTCTTTGAATTTTTTATATAATAGTTGTATCTTTCGTATCTTTGACTCCTTTTTCTCTGTTGATTACCAGCGTATATTTGATGAATTGGAAAGAAATAAGGACTGAGTCTCTATTCGTCCCTAATCACTAACACTTCGGTGTCAAAATAGATAACAGCAGAGAATTTTATGAGTAAATATGGAAAAATATTTCAATATTTATCTTCAGTTCTCCCAGAAAACTTCATACCCATAGTTTCTAACTCGCTCCACGGCGTGTGATTGAGTCACTTCTGATTAAGACAGAATAGGTACTGATCATCGCTTGATAATGAAAACTATCAGCAACAAAATGTTCTTATACTAGGATATCTTTCAATAATGATGACAGCAGCCTGTTCATACATTTTATACTTTCATCGTTATCTTGAGATCTTGAACAATCAGACATATTTAATCGAGCCTGTATGTGGAGAAACATCTTAGAGTTGACACAATACTACTTTATCTATATATGTATGTATATATAGAATATCTGAATAAAGTATGACTTTTGCAAACAAGTTTTACACGAAAATTGGAATCTAAGGTTTCATTTAGGCGACTAAAATTGTTATTCAACACAGGATTTTGGGATCTAAAACTATCGAGTTTATCATCTGTAGTGGATGAGAGTAATTGCTTTTTCACAGTAAAGAGTGCTTTATTCTGATCCCTTAACAACACTGTGACCTTTAAATGATGAGAATGATCTATCTGTTTGACGTCATCTGGGAGAAATTATTTCTTTTTATTACGGTTCGTACATAGGATATTGTGTTTTAATAGTTTAATAAGTGGCTGATGTAATATTTCTAGCAGGTCCAATTCTTGCAAAAAAGAAAAATGTCAAATTATTACTTTTTTATTTTACTCATTAATTCAAACGAAAACTTAATTTAAAAAAATTCTTTTTTTCTCTAAATACTTCAACGTCCCTTCAAAGCAAAATTCGAAAATTAAGGCTCTCAATTATCATTTGAGTAAACTGAAATCCTCGGGTAATGCAATCAGATCGTTTTCAATGTTGAACAGTTTGTTATACCATTCATCTATTTTCGCGAAAAAAAATCTTCAGAAATGTCTCTGATGAATTTTAATGTATTAAGCCACCTAATCCCAAAGTGACAGAAAAATCAACCGTCCAGTAACACCAGTCTCGAGACAAATGAGATAGAAGGTAACTAAACCTTGATCCAAGCCCTTAACAATGGATGGTAGTATTATTTGCTAGAAGAAACGTCATGTAAATGGGCTATCGTCTTGCATTTTTACAAATACAAAATATTTACGCATATTTTCTAAGCTACCAACAAGAAATAACAGTATAGCAGTTAAAAGCAATAGAAATTATATCACATATTAAACAAATATATATTAAGCAAAATAGCACTGCTCATGATCCGAAGAAGGCGGTAAAATCATTTCTACAGTTAGTTTAGCTATTTCAGCTATAATTCTAAAATAAAGTCTAAGGTATGAGTGTATTGTTTGGTAGTCAGTTGTTAAGCCCCACTTTAGTGAGAACACGATTCCGTTTGCTAGTAAATTTTTACATGAGAACGGTTGTTGGTATATTATTAACATTTTAGTTATGTTCTTTTCTCATCGCCAATCGGTAGGAGATTGTCGGTTCTGTTGATGGTGTCTATATATTATACTCTACTATCCGTTAGTACTATATTCTGATTTTTATAATTCAGCGAACATTTACTAGCTCATATTGAAATGTTTTACATAGAAATTCAAAGCAATACAATTAGGCATTTAGTTTTAAGAGAAATTTGCATACTCAAATCATCGGACATAACGAAAACGAATAAGAAGATGATGACTAATAATAATAATCTTTAAAGTCTTTTGTATGATTTATTTATGTTGAGCCATGTAAATAGTGTTTGTACATTTACTTTGTTAAATAATATTTTTATGCGAATATTTTCGCTTATAGTGTACATAACATAACCAATGAAATTGAGTTGTATAATTTCATAATAACATTTTACTGTTCAATATTATAGAACAATTAAATATAAACGTTTAATGTAGTCGTAAGTCCATTCTAATCGTTCAAATGAATTCTCTCATTGACTTTAAGTGTATCTCTTCATTCAAATCATAGAGATTTACACTGAGTTTTTCCAAATTTTTTGTGTCTAATTCATAGCAAGGAAGAATACAATAGTAAACAAACTGAAATGTCGGGTACAAAGTTTTACTGATGTTTCCTGATAAAAATATTTATCGTTTACAAATGGAAAGGTGTGTGTCTTAGGACATATATATGTTATCCATTTAAGATATGCTCGGTGATAAATCTTTCATTTCGGAGACTTATTTAATAAACTCTTTGATAAGATAAAATTACAGTGTCCGAATATATCAGTTTTAATCATTTCGTAAATTGTCAAACTACATTAGTTTTCTTCTCTTCTCACTATTACTTCTCGCTATTATTATTATCTTAATGCTCACTCAAATTAAATTTTTTTACTCAAACACATGGACTGAGGTTTGTAAGAACTTCACTTTTCCTAGTTTGTATAGTGTACAGTGATGTTGTACAATCGACACTATGTTTTCAGAGGTAATTATTTGGACTTTATCTTTTTATGCTTATTGTCAATGTTGCATTTGTAACTGTGTTACATATCATCATTATTATTTATTTTTATATTTCTAGGTGTTACACAAAAGGAGGAGAAATTAGAGCAAGCACAACAATCACTTACTACTACTGATAATGAATCATCAATATTTGAATCAAATCGTCGTGATGAAGAATCAACAGTAACAACAAATCTATTTTCTTCAGCTACTTCAGCAAACATATCACCATCACTTGATCGCTTTCAACCACCCATCATTACTAATCCATTACCTCGTACATCACATATTGCTGAAAATGATCGTTTAACATTTACTGTTGAATATTTTTCACCATCAGTTCAATGTCGTTGTACTTGGCTTCGTAACGGTAACGAAGAAATACGACATGGAATTCGAAATACAAATTATTCATCAACATTAACTATTGAGAATGTAACACGAGAATATGATGAAGGCACTTATACGTTTAATGTGGAAAATGTGTACGGTATGGCATCAAGTCAAACCAATGTGACCATCAGTGATGGTATGTTTTGTATTTTATAGTAACAGATTAGTAAATCAAAATACTTCTCCACAAAAACGAATTGAAAGAAATAATTTATTCTGTTGAATAAAAGTACTACAACATCCGGTTTTTTCTCGCATCGGCCTATCAATAACAGACAATGTTAAGTTCATTTTTCTTTTACTAAACCCAATAATTTGAGAAATCTTTATAGATATAGTAAGTTCAGTTTTGAATATGTTGGTGATTTATCACTCGATCTACTCTGTTATGGAAAAGCTGTGATTTAAAATCATAAATACGTTATCGATTTTTCCCATGTTCACTGCGTAATTAAAAGGATTTGAGAAAGTTAAATTTTGTATTTTTTCAGGTACAGGGAAGAGAGAAATTGAAGAGCAAGAACCATATGATCAGTCATTTGGTAATCTATTAGCAATAAACAAAGCAAAAGAACCAACTCTCTCACATGATACCAGTCGTTTACAATTGAATATTCCCCCTCAAAAACGTATAAGTATGGTTCATCAAACGCCGATAGGCGAAAAATCATTTGAAACAGAAGATATACATGTTCGTTTACCAGGTGAAACAGATGAAGAACTTAATATTACTATACAAACGGAATTGGCACCTACACCACGATTATCGATGACCGACGAATTAATAACAGATGGATCAGCACAATTACAAAAAATCATTGACGATGAACGACTGTTGTTAAAACGAGTAGGCTGATTTGAAAGAAGTCCTATTTGATTGATATTTTTATTCTCTTTTCAATTTTAGGTCTCCGAATTTGAACAAGAAAAACAAGATGATACGATAACGCCATTAGGCGATAATACTAAAAAGTTAAAGCGTATTTTACAGCCTAGTGATGATGATGATCGAGCACGTCGACAACAATTTGCAAAAGGCGTTCAACAATCATTAGATGAAGTTAATTTAAAAGCATTTTCAACCGATATATCACGTTCACGTTTATCATCAAAAGAGGCGCATCATCATGAACAGAGCGAGTATTTGGATTTATCAGACAGTGGAAGAATTGATGAACAAAACGAAACTATCGATCGACAAATATCAGACAACGCGCTCATCACTACGAAAACAAAATTAGATAGCAAACTTAATGTCGTGTCAGCTACAGTAAGTTCATTTTGCCATCTTAGTTTTCAAGTGATCAGAAAACTTTATAATATTCTAACTGTCAGCTTTTGTTACATCGTCAATTTTTTTTCCATCAGTAATTGTGGTAGTTTAAATTTAGCTATTTCAGCTAGTCAAGAATTGATTGAGTTTACACACTTTAAAAGTTCGGATTTGTTGAATTTTTGTCTTTACAAATACGGCATATTAATGTATGCCAATGAATTCAAAAATATATCATCTTCAACAATTTATTTTGCTATTTTTGATTCTGTGATATCTGCAGCGTAAAAGCTGTAACTATCCCGACCGTTCTTTCTTAGTATCTTTATATATTTATAGTCATTTTTTTAGACTGATGAAACTGAAACTAAATCACAAGCGTTATTAACCAATGAAAATAAAACGGTTCAAAACCAGTTAGAACCTCGCGATGCTGATACTCATACTACTGAGACTCCTGTTATTCAAGAGTCTCAAAGCATTCCATTATTAACGACAAAACTAGATGAAGAAGTACAAAGCATTCCAAATAAAACGACTGTTGGCATCCAGGGCGCAGACAAGAATATTACAATGGAAACGGTTAAACAACTTAATGAGAAACAGCAGCAGCTAGAACAAACCAGCAACGTTACTAGTTCCCAACTGGACCAGATTACCACGCCAACCGCAACCGAACAAGTTCAACCAGTCACATCGACTATGACTACTGAAACTATTCAAATACAGCCAGCTGATTTAATACAAACACAAGAGGCAATTTCAACGGTTGACGACTGGTCACAATTGACGGGTGAAACCACATCACAACTTGTCTCAGGAAGTATAGATGCATCAAGTAATATTGCACCACCGGCTCCATTGATCACAGAAAACGTTGGAGGGGCTTCGGACATTGTTCAATCATTACCGGAACGTCGAGCATCACGCGTCTCATCGCTCATCTTAACAGCTGATGAAAATTTCGATCAAATCCCACAACAACCGACTATTCAACGATTAGTTGTCGGACAAAAATTAGACTCTGTTAAAGTACCACATAATTTACCTGAGGAACCATCGAGTCATCAAGTGAGACAAGTTAGTCAGCCTACATTGGTACAAGAACCTTTGGAAGACATAGTGTCCGTCAATATCCAACAGCGACGTATCAAATCTCTTGATGAAGTTATTCATGAGGTGCAACAAATTTCTGATCAATTACAACAGTATCAGGGACGATTGGTGATACAACCAACAATCGTAGGTGAATCTTTCGACGATGAGGTTTCGACGAATATTGAACAAAGGCGTTTGGCCATAAAATCTCTTGAAAATGTTATTGAAGAAGTCAAGAAGATATCTGATGAATTAAAATTACACAAAACAAGATCCGTCATACAGCCAAGTTTAGTTGGAGAGGATCTTGAAAATGAATACTCAACCACTGTTGAACAAATACGTACTAAATCACTCGATCTAGTAATTCAAAAAGTACAAAATATTACTCAAGAATTGCAAGAATTTCGAGCACGATCCATCACACAACCGATGCTGATCGATATTCCATTTGAAGAGACACTATCAACACAACTTGAACAAGTAAGTGTATAACCTTCAGAAAAACACGTTTTAGGAACAGGAAAAGGTTCGATCTAATCGCTATCTTTATCGAATAAAAGCAAAATAAATCCCATTGTAGTACTAAAATATCGAAAAACACAAATCAGTTTTATATGGAGATGTTTGAATACGTGAACTTAGTTTTTAGTTAACTGCAAGTGTAAATTCACTTTAGTTATGTTTCATCTTTTTTCTACAGAGAGTACCAATCAAATCAATTGATCAAGTCATAGAACAAGTTCAACAAATTTCGAACGAATTAAAACAATATCAGGCACGATTAGTTTTACAACCGTCACTTGTCGGAGAATCGTTCGATGGTGAGTTTTCGACCTCAGTTGAACAGTTACGTCGTCCGTTAGGACAAACATATGATCAACAAGAGAATCAACCAAAACAAGAGTCTTCCAGTGAATCAACGACGACCACCCAGCAAGAAACTGTTTCCACTACAGAACAGTTTCAGTTGGAAAACAAAGCACATCGACCATCTTTCATTGCTATACCATCATATGGCGCTGAAGTTGAGTTTGATGTATTACCAGAATCAATACATCAGAGACTTATACCAAAAAAACAAAGACTCACGACCACTGAAACCATGGAAATAGAATCAAAAGATCAAACGGAAACGGTCACATCACCACCTTCATCGGATTTAATACTAAGATCTCGTCTATCATTAATCCAAGCTCGTGCGCCAGCTGCTGAAACCGATTTAGACCTAGTGCCACCATCAATTGATCAACGTATTGCGCCAAATGAGCGATTAGCAGAAAAAAAAGACATCGAACAACAACAACAAGTTAAAACTCCTGACGATGTTTTCGAAGAGCTATTGGTCGCACAACCGACTACAGAACAAACATTCATCGTCTCTGAAGATCAATCTCAAGTAAGGAACTTAATAAAATCTTTTTACAATTATCTTTATCAAGATTCAGACTACATAGAATAAATCTTTTTCATTAGGCACTGCAAAAACCATTAGCTGAAATCGATCAACAAATGACCAAAGATCTTCAAAAGCTTCAGACAAGTCTACATTCTACACCAACTTCAGTCAGTGAATCGATGGATGAACTAATTTCTTCTTCAATTGAACAACGAATACTAAAGAAATCATCAAAAAAAACCGAGAAGGATGAAGTAATCGAAGTCTCAGATGAAGAAAGACAGCAAGACAAACCTAAAAGACCAAAAGATTTGCCAATAGAAGAAGAAGCACCGAAAATAACTACCGAATCGCCGTTTCTTACACCGGCTACGCCGGAAACAAGCGAAACTATTGTCGATCAAATTTTAGAGAAAGGTCAGTTTAACATTATGTATTGCACTGTTCGTCTCTGTTTTCAGACTCTTATTATCATTAAAAACGACCTAATTGTTTTTTAGATTCCGCTGTAACACATGTTGTGCTGTAAAAAAAAATAAGGCGTCTATTCTATCTATTTAATTCTTTGGTTCGTTTATCATTTTTTTTGTCCTTCTTATTTTACGATCCTTGTTTTCGCAATAGTCATCTTACTTGTATGGTTGACAGAAACGATAATCATCTTTTTCTGTTTTTGGGTTCATCAATTTTTTCAAACAAATCAATAAAGTTTTTTTTCATTCCTCGTTAAGCCACCAGGACAATTCAGTACTCTACTCGGTATTGTCAGTGTCATGCTGGTTAGGACTGTAAGCTTCTTCAAAATTCTGACTATGGGTAAAATAAGATGGATGAATGAACCATCATAAAATAAGATGCAAGAATTTGTTCGTATTACTCTTAGATAGATGCAATCAACTAATTCGCAATCGCGCAATCGACTCACGCGCTTTACTTTAAGATGTCTTTTTGGATTTAGGGTATTCACTTACATATTGCCGTTAGCAGCAGCTTTCGTTACTTGAAATTCTTTTTAAACAAAGTGATAATGTAGGAAAGGATTACTTTAAAACTAAAGCTTGGTAGTGCAAAACGTTACATTCTTCCAGAATCTTCGCGTTAGATAATCATAGAAAAATGCTCAATTTTCATCTTATCCTTCATAATCTCAAATAACTACTCTCACATTCTAGCTGAAACACTGCCAGGTGATATTCAGAAAGTCGTTGGCTTAGAACACAGCACTGAAGTATCTGAACAACCAGTTGTTCAACAATTCATACCGATTTCTCCAGAACCATCAATGCAATTAGACGATATAATTCAAGAACTTCGAAGCGACATGATGTCACTACCTGAAAAAATAGATAATGCCTCGTCGGTGTTCCAATCTAACATTATCCATGAAGACCAAATACCGCAGTCAAAAGTATCATTTGTTACTGATGCACCAGTCGAGTTGCACTCAGATACTGATTTAAACTTGGAAAATGTTCAAACTTCACCAAAAATAGAAGAATTACTCCAAGAAATTAATCAAAAGGCAAGAGCGCTTGATGCATTATCACAACAAACGGTATAAAAAAACGCATTCTTTATATTTTCGATTAAAGTACAGTTTACTGTTCAAATAAATCAGACTGTTTTTCTCTTCTATGACGATCAAAAAACTGACATAAAGACAAAAAAAAGGGCTTGTCCGATCTTGTTGTTAGCAACCTGTTTCTCTTATTTTCTGATGGGATAAAAACAGAGAATAGAGTCTAGAGAAAAGTCTTGAGAACTGAATCACAAAAAGCTTAACAAGCCTACAAAAAAAATTACCGAAAACAACTAAAAATACAAATTTTCAGTTGAACCTCTTCGAAAGATTAAATGTCCTGAATAGACAACTAATAACTGTCTTATGATTTTTTCGAACACGGCCAACTTAAAAAACTACATAATGCATTTTGTGTTCTATTCTATAGGAAGTCCAAGATAAACAAAAACAAATTCAAATTGCTGAATCAGCACTAGATGCAAGCAAAGCGCTTATGCTCGAATTAGAAGCTGAGGAAAAACCAATTGATGATCCAAAAGCCAAAATGCAACAACTCGAAAGTGTGCCATCAAATCAAATAATATCAACTATTGAAGAAACTGAGAAGAGAAAAGAAACAGCTCAAAATGTTGTTCAAAACTTGGAAAACGTTTTAGAGGTATTGAAAGAGAAAGAAGTGATTGGGAAATCAGATACATCGATTTTACACGAACAGGCACTTTCAGCTTCTTCACAAAATGTCGATTTGAAGGAAGAGCATACGCCGAAAGATGTCATAGATAATAAAGCTGTACCACAACTGTCACAAAGTATTTCTAAGCCGACTGAAATAAATCTGACAAAAACCGTCACAGCAGAACAGCAAACTCAACAACTTCCCGCTATCGACCGAACAATCACTGAACAACAAGTCTCTAAGGAAGATCTGCCGGTTAATTCAACTACAACCACAAGCGATAAGATATTACACGATACTCTGACTGAGTCAGTACCTCAAAAACCATCGGAACTTGTCAGATCCGTGGAAAACGTAGATCAATCTTCGACAAAAACTGATATAACGTCTGCGCAAGAACCGTCCCTACCACAACCGACATCAGAGAAACAAAAAATCGCACAACCACAGACAACACAGCAAACCACATCAACCAAACCAGTACAACAACCAGATATACAAAAATTCACAACGCCCGAGCTGCTATCCACGCTACCACAAGCTAAACCTGTCGTTCACGCAGATGACCGCAGTATTGAAAACCTGACTATGCTTCAGTCACACGACATTATTTCCGATAACAATCTTACAACAACTATCCCACACATCCAAGAAAAGCCAATTGAATTAATGAAATCGACGACAGAACAACATATCGACGCACCCTTACCCACACCCGCGCTAATCAAGACAGCAGAAACCATTCTTGAACAAACGAAACATGCACATACCAACTTAAATCAGCCACAAACATCAGTACCATACGCAATCGCAGATGAATTTACTACAGGAACTCAACTTCCAACAGAAGTTACCTTACAACCAGATCAGCCGAAAACCACAACAATCAAACCTGAAACGCCTAACCTACAACAACAACGACAACAAATAGCGACAACCACCAGTGAAAAACACGACGTTTTGAAAGACGAACAAAAACCAACTCAGACAGTCCCCGAGGCTACAAAAGTCGAAGAAGTCATATCCACATCTCAAGGTGGGTAAAACATTCGCGAAAATGCCCCAATGTTTCTCTATCATCTTGCGCATTCTAATATTTAGATGCCAAACCTGCTGCACAACAAAACGTTGAAGAAGCGCAAAAGATGGAAGGCAAACCGGAGGAACCAGTCAAGAAACCGACTGCGAAAAAAGATGTTCCGAAAGACGAACAAAAACCAACTCTGCCGGTCACCGAGCCTACCAAAGCAGAAGAAGCCAAACTTCAAGGTTGGTGACGGACTGTCACAAGTGTGCCAATTTCTATCAATTCCTACATTCTAACATTTAGACATTAAACCACTTGCACAACAAAAGGTTGAAGAAGTGAAAAAGGTGGAAGCCAACTCAGAGGAAACGGGGAAGAAGCTGGAAGCAAAACCCGGGGAAGCAACCAAGAAGCCAACGCAGCAAAAAGATGTTCAGAAGGACGAACAAAAACCGACCCAACCTGCCACCGAGCCTGCCAAAGTTGAAGAAGCCAAACCTCAAGGTTGGTGACATATCGTCGCAAGTGTATCAATTTCTATCGCTCTGTGTATTCTAACATTTAGACGCTAAACTTGCTGCACAACAAAAGGTTGAAGAGGTGAAAAAGGTGGAAGCAAAACCAGAGGAAGCAGCCAAGCAGCCGACAGATAAAAAGGATGTTCTGAAGGACGAACAGAAACCAACTCAGCCGGTCACAGAGGCTGCCAAAGCTGAAGAAGCCAAACCTCAAGGTGGGTGACATATTGTCGCAAGTGTTTCAAGTCCTATCGTTTTGTGCATTCTAACATTTAGACGTTAAACTTCCTGCACAACAAAAGGTTGAAGAAGTGAAAAAGGTGGAAGCAGAGTCAGAGGAAGCAGCCAAGAAGGTGGAAGCGAAACCAGAGGAAGCAGCCAAGAAGCCGATTGAGAAAAAGGATGTTCCGAAGGACGAACAAAAACCAACTCAATCGGTCACCGAGCCCACCAAAGTCGAAGAAGCCAAACGTCAAGGTTGGTGACAGATTAACGCAAGTGTGGCAGCGTTTGTCTATCATTTTGTGCATTATAACATTTAGATGCTAAGCCTGTTGCTCAACAAAAGGTTGAAGAACTGAGAAAGGTGGAAGCGAAGTCAGAGGAAGCGGAGAAGAAGGTGGAAGCAAAACCAGAGGAAGCAGTCAAGCAGCCGACAGATAAAAAGAATCTTCCGAAGGACAAAGAAAAACCGATCCAACCTGCCACTGAGCCTGTCAAAGTGGAAGAAGCCAAACCTCAAGGTGGGTGACATGTTGTCGCAAGTCTCCCAAGTTCTATCGTTTTGTGCTTTCTAACATTTAGACGTTAAACTTCCTGCACAACAAAAGGTTGAAGAAGTGAAAAAGGTGGAAGCGAAACCAGAGGAAGCAGCCAAGGAGTCGATTGAAAAAAAGGATGTCCCGAAGGACGAACAAAAACCAACTCAACCGACCACTGAGCGGGTCAAAGTTGAAGAAGCCAAACCTGAAGGTTGGTGACATGTTGTCGCAAGTGTATCAATTTCTATCGCTTTGTTCATTCTAACATTTAGACGTTAAACTTACAGCTACACAACAAAAAGTTGAAGAACTGAAAAAGGTGGAAGCGAAGTCAGAGGAAGCGCCGGAGAAGATGGAAGCAAAACAAGAGGAAGCAGCTAAGAAGGTGGAAGCGAATGTGGAAGAAGCCAAAGCCAAACCTCAAGGTTGGTGAAATATTGTCACTAGTGGCCTAGAGATCAGGGGTTATTTCCACAGAAATCTTATACAACACGTATGAGATTGTTATAACAATCTTGGGAAGTACTTACTAAGGGGGTCGACAGAGCTGCGTAGAATATTGATAAGAGTTTTATTTAAGAAACTGCTAAGATGCATATAAGAATCGTGTTAGAGTTAGATCTTTGTCAGTGAAGTACTCTATATTCTACTTTCCTACTATAATCTACTGTTTCATACTTGAATGAAATACGTCTCTGTCTATTTATTTTGCTGCTCCATATTACAACCTTACTCAAAAGCGACAGTCTAAAGACGCGTCTTTCCAGTGGTCCAGACGCGTGGTCCAGGATCTATAGACCGGATTTACTTGTCATATATAGAAACAATAGAAAAAGAATGAAGTTCCCAAAATAAAATTTTGTGACAGGATAATACTGAGCAGGACAGGTCAGTAAATCGGGTAAAAATTCCATTTTTTCAAACCGATCTCTAGCAAAATGCACCACTTGAAATCCTTTGTTCTCTATAATGACAGCATTCAATTACGGCTCTCACAATCGTCGAAGATAGACCGCCATTACTACTAGTATCGACACTTTCCCCACAGCCACTTACATGACTCACTATTCAATAATAACTGAAGAAAGGAGTAGCATAATTCATCACAACATAGACATTTTTTAATCAGCTAAAATATTTTAATCAGCTGCTACTAGTAAAATACAATATTCTACCAGTTTTATCGTGCATCGAATAAGAATCTTATCAATAAATTACCCAATGACTGCCTTAAATACGATGCTTATTAGATTTGGATAAAATCACTACAGAATTCCCGTCAGTTCAGCCACATAGGCTGTGAAACTCTTTCTCTATCATTTCGCGCATTTAGACCTAAAACCTGCCGCACAACAAAAGGTTGAAGAAGTGAACAAGGTGGAAGCGAAACCAGAAGAAGCAGCCCAGAAGCCAACTGCTAAAAAGGTTGCCCCGAAAGACGAACAAAAGCCAACTCAGCCGGCCACCGAGCCCGCCAAGGTTGAAGAGGCCAAAGCGAAACCTCAAGGTCGGTGCAATATGCTAACAAATGTGGCAGTGTTTCTCTATCGATTTGCCCATTCTAAAATTTAGATGTTAAACCTGCTGCACAGGAAAAGGTGGAAGAAGTGAAAAAGGTGGAAGCGAAACCAGAAGAAGCAGCCAAGAAGCCGACTGATAAAAAGGTTGCTCCGAAAGACGAACAAAA